AGCTGTAAAGAATTAAAATACACGGCTCAAAAAAATTAAAGGAAGACTTTGTAATCAGAGTCTAGCATCAAATCAATGAAACTCCTGGGATATTGATCTGGTTAGACAAGTAGCAGAGGGGTTGTTAATCACTTTCAGCTGCTTTGGTGCTCATGAGATTAACAACAGGTGCACTAGATGGGTAACAATGAGATGACCCCCAAAACAGGAATGGTATTACAGGTAGAGGCCACTGACATTTTTTCCCTACTCATCTTTCCTGACTTTTTCACTAGTTGTGCATTTGGCTACCTGCACCCTACAGAGGTTCACAGGCAGTCCAAATCCTCCAGGTTCACAGGCAGTCCATTGCCAGGTTGCTGTGTCTCCCAGCACAGTCTCAAGAGCATGGAGGAGATTCCAGGAGACAGGCAGTTTCTCTAGGAGAGCTGGACAGGGCCGTAGAAGGTCCTTAACCCATCAGCAGGACCGGTATCTGCTCCTTTGTGCAAGGAGGAACAGGATGAGCCCTGCCAGAGCCCTACAAAATGACCTCCAGCAGGCCACTGGTGTGAATGTCTCTGACCAAACAATCAGAAACAGACTTCAGGAGGGTGGTCTGAGGGCCTGACATCCTCTAGTGGGCCCTGTGCTCACTGCCCGGCACCATAGATCTCGATTGGCATTTGCCATTGAACACCAGAACTGTCAGGTCCACCATTGGCGCCCTGTGCTTTCCACAGATGAGAGCAGGTTCACCCTGAGCACATGTGACAGACGTGAAAGGGTCTGGAGAAGCCGTGGAGAACGTTCTGCTGCCTGTAACATTGTTCAGCATGACCGTCTTGGTGGTGGGTCAGTGATAGTCTTGGGAGGCATATCCATGGAGGGACACACAGGCCTCTACAGGCTAGACAATGACACCTTGACTGCCATTAGGTATCGGGATGAAATCCTTGGACCCATTGTCAGACCCTACGCTGGTGCAGTGGGTCCTGGGTTCCTCCTGGCGCAGTGGGTCCTGGGTTCCTCCTGGTGCACAATGCCTGGCCTCATGTGGGGAGAGTATGCAGGCAGTTCCTGGAGGATGAGGGAATTGATACCATTGAATGGCCCCCACGCTCGCCTGACCTAAATCTAATAGAACCCCTCTGGGATGTCATGTTGCGGTCCATCCGACGCCACCAGGTTGCACCTCAGACTGTCCAGGAGCTCAGTGACACCCTGGTCCAGATCTGGGAGGAAATCCCCCAGGACACCATCCGTGGTCTCATTAGGAGCCTCCCCCAACATTGTCAGGCATGTATACAAGCACGTGGGAGCCATACAAACTACTGAGGACCATTCTGAGTTGCTGCAATGAAATGTCAGCAAAATGGACTCGCCTGCTGCATCATTTTTTCACTTTGATTTTCGGGGTGTCTTTGATTCAGTCCTCTGTTGGTCGATCATTTTCATTTCCTTCAAACAATGGGGCGTCTTTACATTCCTAACACATTACCCCATCCATGTCAGTATAGAGATCCAGCAGGAGATTCCTCCCCGTTGAGATCTGATGTGTTTTCAAAGTCTTCCTTTCATTTTTTTGGAGCAGTGTATATCAAAAAGCAAAAACTAAAATGTCATATATTGCAGCTTACCAGTCCTCAGATATGATGGCTGCATTAGTTTTCTTTTTTGGGGCAAAGAACATTCTCTTCAAGTACAGAAAATACCAGTTGATGCTGCCAGAAATACAGTATCCTTGTCACTTCCTGTACACTCAGCTGATATGTAGCATCCTCCTAGGTAGTGCAGGTAGATAGGTAGATTTAGTTTAGCTCATCTGTAATCAATAGAACAGGAGTTGATTGTTCTGGTCTGCTCGGTGTCTCACAAGCTGCTGCTCTGATTGTTTCCCCCTGTATTCTAGAGGATTCTAGAAGAATAGCGGGAGGAAGAACAGAAGAGCAGCCTGAAAATTTAAAGGGAATCCAGCCAATCCCTGGGTAGGTGCTCCCAGTAGTTGGCTGGAGCCCATAAAAAAGTCTAAGGCCTGGGGGGTGAGAGAGTTTCTGGTTTCAGTCCTGCTGGAAGCAGAGACATAACTAGAACCTTCAGGGCCCTGGTGCAATAAACCATGAAGGACTCAGATGATCCTCTCCAAGCCCAGGGCTCTTTGCTCCCATCGCAGGGCCCTTTATTATGGTCCTGCAGTGGGACCCTTTCACATAGTCAACAGTGGGTAGCCTTCATGCTGTCCACAGTTCTACTGACACCAGTGGCAGAACTACCAGGATCACAAAGGCCACAATTGTGAACAGGCCTTGTCAATCCATCGCTGTGGGACCCCCAGTGGCGTAATGCCAGGGCCTGGTCGCAAGTGTGATCTTTGTGACCCTGGTAGTTCTGTCACTGGTGTCAGTAGAACTGTGGATGGTATTATTATGGCAGTGGACTTTGTCAGTAATGCAGTGGATGTGGTCAGAAGGGCAGTGTCAGCATTTTTTTTATTATTTTAGTTTAATATTTTCTACCTTTTTTATATTTTAAAATTTTGTATTTTTTACTATTTTTTTATTTATGAGCCCCGTTGGGAGGCTTTGGTGAAAAATCAGGGGTCCAAACAGACCTGGGATGTTTTCACCTTTGAGAAAAAGAAAGGAGATTGAGAATCTCCATCTCCGTATCTTCACCTGCACCAAATGACTAAACAGGAATAGCTTCCCATTCATTCACAAAACTGAGGCATAATAAACATAGTTTACTATGCTTCAGTTATACATGGACACAGGAGCAATCTGTACTGATCACTGACTCTGTTCATTCAGAAACGGAAGGTGCTAGTAAATGACACATTTACATGGCAGGATTACTGGAGGTCCCATCTAGAAGACATTGAGGTCCCAGCTGCAGCTTTATCTGGGGCAGTGGCGTTCCGAAGGCAGGTGCGGGGGGTGCGGCCCGCACCGAGTGACACCGACTGCACGGAGTGACACCGGACCAGCTCCACGAAAAGGTAAGTTGTAAAGCAAGCCGACGATCCCTGCAGGATGGATCCAATCCATCCTGTGGGATTGTTGGCTCTCTTTACAACTTACCTTTTCGTGGAGCTGGTTCGGTGTCACCCCGTATAGGTTGCATGCCGACGATCCCCGCAGGATGGATGGGATCTGTGGATTGGGGAGCAAAATGGATCGGACTCTGATCCATTATGCTCCCCAATCCGCAGATCCAAACCATCCTGCACGGATCGTTGGCATGCAACCTATACGGGGTGACACCGAACCAGCTCCACGAAAAGGTAAGTTGGAAAGAAAGCCGACGATCCCCACAGGATGGATCGGATCTGCCGATTGAGCATAATGGATCGGAGTCCCAGCCATTATGCTCAATCCGCAGATCCGATCCATTCTGTGGGGATCATCGGAGGGGGTGTCACAAAGTGTTACCGTACCGGGTGACACCATCCCTAGGGACGCCTCTGATCTGGGGGGTCTCGTATTCACAGAGCCTAGTCCTGGAGTTGTTTGGGGTCTGGAGAAGGTCACTGGAGAGTACCAGGAAGACATTGGGGAAAAGGTGTCCAGCTGTCCTATGGTGGTGTGAACCTGTATTTCCCTCACTGAGGAGTGCCCGAAAAGAGGCAACCAATGATTCTGCGGTCATGTGAGTAGATAACCCCGGTGCTGGAAGTTAGTGACTGTGTGCAGCTTTGGTCTCTTGGAAAAGTCCTACTCACCTCTCAGCATTAGAGATTCTGAGCAGCTCAGCAAGATACTGTGGAGAAGGAGTCCTCAAAGAGTTCACTTGCCCAGTTTGGGGTATCCCATGCTCCCTTCACCCCATCCAAGTTACAATAAAACCCTAAAAAGACTCCCCCAGACTGTTCAGCTGTGCCAGTGTAAGAACAAGGAAAATGCTTTGCGCCTGGCTGTGTTTTACACCAGCGGTTCCTGAGGGGGTGCGCTACAGATATATCAATCAATGTTATCAGCTTCCCCAGCTATACTCTGTACAGTGAGTGGACACCACCACCCTGGGATTGGAAGTGTGTTACTGGTAGGATCACCAGGTGACAATAAACTAGAAAACTTAGCAGGCACCACATCTAAGGACCAATCAGCTGCAATATATGACATTTGTGTTCTTGGTTGTAGATATGTTGGCTTCCAATAACGGTTATTATTTGGATTCGCTCATATTTCCTAATTGTCCCGGCATGCCCAGAACAAGGATGACTTCCTATACACGGTGTCAGAGCAATGGGCTATTAGGACAATGGGACCAAGACCATCACAAGCCTCACGGTCAAGTTTTCCTTCAGTTCCTCCAACCTTGTAGAGAGTTAAAATAATATATAAACTTTTCTAATTAGTCTCAATACCTCACCCAAATTACCAATAAATAAGATAAATTCCAAATAAATAAAATAAATAAAGATAAATTGAATATAAATACATAAATGTCCCACAACTTAATAAATGTCCCAAAATACTTTCATAATCCAAAAAATATCTGTGTGAATATTCCAATTTGATTTGTAGATAATCCAGTGTAGACTTTCAAACTCTTTCGTGAATCCTTATGAATAGGCTATTAAACATAGGATAGCGGCAATCTCCAATGCTTTGTTTTTTTACTCTTCCACATCCTCTTAGAGCAAGAAGGAGAGATTCAGCGGTATGCAGTATATAAAAGAACACTTTTACACGATTCCTTACATTAACCTCCTCGGCGGTATGATTATTTCAGATTTTTTTGCTGAAAGCGGTACCATTTTTTTGCATGGAAATATGTATTTTTTTTTTTTTGTAGGCCTATAATTTAGGAATAACTCACTGAAATCTGTCTGAACAAGAGTCTAGTAAACATCCCGGGTAGTATAAAACTTGAAACACAAAATCATAAATTATAATTTTAATAAATAATCATAATAAAAAATATTATAATAATACATTTTTATTAAATATAATCAAACCAAAAACATTGAAATTTGAAATATAGCGCCAAGTTCGCTGAGCAAAGTTGCAGAATCGTTTTCAGTGTCTGATGAGGAATTTCCCCCACGAATCATTATCACTCAATTCTGCAAGTGGTTCTGATTTACTATCGCTGTTCTCTAGCCGGTCTAAAACCGCTTTGGACATAAAGGGGCGCTTTTTCCAGGCAGAAAGAACAGTAAAAATGCAGGCAGGTCACAGGACAAAGCACTCGGGACAAAATGTATGTGAAATATTTTGAAACAGGAATGTTTTGCTATGTAAAAATTAGAGATGAGCGAATTTTTTCAAAAATTCGATTCGGCTGATTCGGCGAATTCCAGTATGAAATTTGATTCGATGCGAATTAATTCGCTACGAAGTTTAATTATAAAAAGGGTTTCTAGGCTTCAGAGAGCCTTTAAATTAGTGCAGAACACTGTACCTTTAATTTAAATGCCCTTGGAGATGAGGAAGAAGAAGGATGAGGAGAAGGAGAAGGATGAGAAGAAGGAGAAGGAGAAGGATGAGAAGAAGGAGAAGGATGAGAAGAAGGAGAAGGATGAGAAGAAGGAGAAGGAGAAGGAGAAGGAGGAGAAGGAGAAGGATGAGAAGAAGGAGAAGGAGAAGGATGAGAAGAAGGAGAAGGAGAAGGATGAGAAGAAGGAGAAGGATGAGAAGAAGGAGAAGGATGAGAAGAAGGAGAAGGAGAAGGATGAGAAGAAGGAGAAGGATGAGAAGAAGGAGAAGGATGAGAAGAAGGATGAGAAGAAGGATGAGAAGAAGGAGAAGGATGAGAAGAAGGATGAGAAGAAGGAGAAGGATGAGAAGAAGGACAGTTCTGTGACAGTTTCTGTCTATTTTTGACAGTTTCTGTGACATTCACTTCATACAGCGGTTGAAACATTGTATCTATTTGTTTCCATAAATGACATTCTGCAAATACACTTAGAGGAGCTCTGCAGATACACTTTTTGCCGGCTTGGAATTATTCTTATTTTCATCCTACTTCTTCTTCTTTTCTTCTTCTTCATCCTCATCCTCTTCTTCTTCTTCTGAGGATGAATTTGGATGAGGATGAAGAAGAAGAAGTAGGAATGAAAATAAGATTAATTCCAAGCCGGCAAAAAGTGTATTTGCAGAGTTCCTCTATTTCTGACAGTTCTCTGACAGCTCCTTCACATGTACAGCGGTTGAAACATCTGTATCCTAAATGGAAACTAATAGATACAATGTTTTTTTTAGGAACCGCTGTACATGTGTTCCTTCTGTCAGAGAAATGTCAGAAATAGCGGAGCTCACTGCAGGGACACTTTTGCCGGCTGATCGGGAAATATTCGATTCGCGCACCCGAAGTAGGCAAAATTTCGGATTCGACGCGAATCGAATATTTCCTGAAATTCGACTCGAATTCCGGTTCGCCTGGTTCGATTCGCTCATCTCTAGTAAAAATCATTTTTAAAAAAATGAAATTTTTTTAAAAATTTCAAATTTGCCGCCGGTTTCGGCGCCCGTACAAAGTAACGTCCCGACATCACAGGGACCGGAACATGGAAGCCAGAGGCCGGCATCGGCCGGAGGAGATGGCCGGGGACACATCGTGGGAGCGAAGGACAAGGTAAGCGCTGCAGGGACTCCCTGAGCAACGCTGCATGGTAAGTCCGAGTGTAGCTCGGGGTTACCGCTTTTGGTACTGAAACTTTACCCCGAGCTACACTCGGGAATACCGCCAGGGAGGTTAAAGATGGTGACATTCAGCTTCCAATCCTCAGAACAGTGAAGGTGCAGTCCCTGGTATGAAAAACCAGCATGTTTTTTTACTTTCAAAATGGTTTTTTTACATGGAATATAAGTACAGAGTCGGCCAACCTTTTAGATTTAAATATATTTTTAATTAAATAATAAATTATGTTTTAAAAACTTTTTTTTTAAAGAAACTGATAGAAATGGATACATTCCTGTCAACAGCTCTCAAGAGATCCCTTGAGAAAAAAGTCCAGGAAGTGACGAAACGCGTCGGGACATGTGACGTCTGACGAACTTACGCAAATCGGAAGTGCAACCCGCGGCCATTTTGAAAGTGGGAAACATGCTGGTTTTCATACCAGGGACTGCACCTTTACTGTTCTGAGGATTGGAAGCTGAATGTCACCAATTTTAATTTTTTTATTGTGCTGGGGCGCGCTCCCAGCACAAAGACAGGTACGCAAATATGCGGCCCCACGGAAAAAAGCCCAGGTCCGTGAGGCCGCATATTTGTGTTACGTCGGCGTCAAGGGGTTAAAGGGTCGCGGCATTAGGAAGGTTGAGAACCACTGCTCTAAGAGGATGTGGAAGAGTAAAAACAAGAGGAGGAATAGAAGCATTGGAGATTGCCGCTATCCTATGTTTATAGCCTATTCATAAGGATTCACGAAGAGTTTGAAAAGTCTACACTGGATTATCTACAAATCAAATTGGAATATTCACACAGATATTTTTTTTTTCGATTATGAAAGTATTTTGGGACATTTATTAAGTTGTGGGACATTTATGTATTTATATTCAATTTATCTTATTTATTTATTTTTTTTTATTTGGAATTTATCTTATTTATTTATTTTATTTATTTGGAATTTATCTTATTTATTTATTTTATTTATTTGGAATTTATCTTATTTATTTATTGGTATTTTGGGTGAGGTATTGAGACTAATTAGAAAAGTTTACATATTATTTACATACTTTCAAGGGTGAAAGGTTTGCTTTTCTATTTTGTGTATTTAGTGACTATTGGAGTAGGAAATGCACGAATTTGTGTTTCTTTTGATTTCTTGTAGAGAGTTAACCACCTTCCGACCGCTCACTGTAAATATACTGCAAGTGGGCGGCAGGTACAGGTACAGTCATGTACGTGACCGACCTTCTTCCGGGTTTGGGACACACATGCACACAACCTGCCTACCCGTGCTGTGATTGGACACTTCATGAGTTTGGCAGCAGATTTCAGCCAATGATTTCAGCTAAAATCTGCTGATCAGCTGTGTCCAATCACACACAAAGTTCTGTGTTTACAAACACACTGGGCTCTGTGTACAGGGAACAGCAATCAGGGAGAAAAAACAGCCAGATCAGAAAGTAAAAGTAGCACACATTGCACATTGTTGGGCACACGGGTAGCCCCTTGATCGCCCCTAGATCTTAACCCCTTCCCAGCCAGTGTCATTAGTACAGTGTCAGTATACAGTATTATCACTGCTCACTGTATTAGTATCACTTAGTGACCCTCCCAGCTAGTGTTTGTTAGGACCAGATTGTCCACCACACTATTACAGTCCCGCTATAAGTCGCCGCTCACCCCCCATTACAGTATAGCATCTATAATTAAGTAAATTCCAGTATATACAGTATATCATAGTTTGTAGACTCTATAACGTTCACACAAACCAATTAATATACAATTATTGGGATTTTTTTAACCAAAGACATGTAGCAGAATACATTTTGGCCAAAATTTATGAAGAAATGTGATCTTGTTATGTATCATCACATCTCCACATTGCTAGTCCCAACAGTGCCTTCTTCCTCATGGTCCAGTGGTGTAAGGGCTGATGTCATCAAGACGAATGCAGGTTCCATAGCTCTGCATTGGGCATGAGGATGCTGAGGGACAGTCTACCGCCAGAACATCGGAGAGCAGAGGATCATGAACAGTGCTGTAAAAAGTATTTGTCAGGAATGGACTGGCCAGCAATGGTGGGACTCACCTGCCTTATGAGCTGCAGTACCAGGGCTGGCCAGCGGGTGCTCCCAGCAATCAGAGACTCAACCTTGCAGCCAGTCAAACACCTGGAACTGATTATACTGGTGTATTTAAGGGATGGCCAGACCCACAGACTCTGCCTTGGTGTGTGTTTCTCCTGGGCCCTGTATCCTGTTCCTGCTCCCTGTTCCTGTTCCTGTTCCTGTCTGATTCGTTGCTGACCCTGCTCTGATCCCTGGCTTTGTCTGACCTTTCTCCTGCTCCTGATCCCTGGCTTGTCTAACCATTCTCCTCTGCCTGACCCTCTGTACCATGCTGCCCGCTACCTGCTGAACCTGGCTTGTGACCCCGACCATTCTCCGCTTGCTCCCCCTGTACCTACCTGCCCGATTGATATTGACCCGGCCTGCCTGACGACGCTTGCATTGTATGTACTGTTATCTGTGGGTGGTTGGTTGGGTTTGTTTGCACTGTATTATGTTTAGTATTGCACTGCGTTTATGTTTGTATGGTTAGTGTTAATAAATTATATTGTTTATAACATATCTGAAGTCTGCGTTTCCCTGCGTCAGTCACACACCTCTGGTCATACCCGGGAGCCCTGACATTACACCAAGGCCAATCCTGACCAGAAGTGGCTGCACAGGGAAGCCATCTTGGTTTGTTGATGGGAAGGATGGATCTGGATGAGGTTGCGTATTTATATCTGCTAGTGTTTGATGACAGGGAGTATGCTTATCAAACTCTGAAGGAGTATCCCCGGGATCAACTACTAGAATGTATACGGATCGCTCATGTTCTAGTAGATCAGGGCACAGAGTTCTCTGAGGTGCAGCCTTTGATTCAGGTTTGTGCTGAGTTGGTTTCATCTGGTTCCCCCGAATGCAGGGATGAATTTTTGCCGCCATTTAGTGCCGACCAGGTAGAGTCCCTGGTGTGGTTATTAGAGGATGATGATGGGTTACTTTCTGGAGCGTTATTCCACATGTTCACCACAGACACTAAGAGATTGTATAAACGCAGTGCAGTCATTGACCAGACAGGCTTTGTGTAAGCTCAGCTTTGTTCAACCCATACTGCAGACATGGACAGACTTGTTGCACCCAGCCTCAGTCAGCTTACAAAGACCCAGTCCTGCTTCTAATCTATCTCCTCAAAGCTCTATTCCTGCATTCCCAACAGCTCCTCCTGCCCTGCTATCTACCGCATGTCAGTACCCTGTTCCCACTCGCTGCACCTATCCTGCCTTTAACCCTGTAAAAAAGCCTTCTGTAGCAACTGTTCCCTCTCCTGTTCCATCCTCCAGTTCTTCTCTGTCTCCAGCTGCTCCATTCGTTTGCAGACCTGCGTTTACTTGCAGTGCTCCAGTAGTTAAAACCAGAAAAAAGCGAAAATTCTTTCCAACCAATACCATCCTGCCAGTATCCAAACCGGTGAGCCTGCCTTCCGTGGTTCAGCCTGGTGCTTCTACTCGGCCTGATGCCTCTACTCGGCCTGAAGCCTCTACTCAGCCTGATGAACTGATCCAGCCTGATGAACTGATCCAGCCTGATGATCCTATTAGGCCAGTTGACTCGATGCCCGCTGTTGATCCAGACGATCCGGTACCTGACCCAGTGCCCGCTGTCATACCTGGTGACCCGATACCCGCTGTCGAGCCAGACAATCCGGTACCTGATCCGGTGCCCGCTGTCGTGCCAATTGACTCAGAGCCCGCTGTCGTGCCTGGTGACTCGGTGCCCACTGCCTTGCCAGATGACGCGGTGCCCGCTGGCGAGCCAAATGACCTGATGCCTGGTGACCCAGTGCCCGCTGTCATACCTGGTGACCCAATACCCGCTGTCGAGCCAGACAATCCGGTACCTAATGACCCGGTGCCCGCTGTCGTGCCAATTGACTCGGAGCCCACTGTCGTGCCTGGTGATGTGGTGCCCACTGCCTTGCCAGATGACACGGTGCCCGCTGTCGAGCTAAATGACCTGATGCCTGGTGACCCGATGCCCGCTGTCCAGACAGACGATCCAATGTCTGACCCGGTACCAGCGGTCATGCCAGTTGACTCGGAGCCCACTGTCGTGCCTGGTGACTCGGTGCCTGACGCTCCGCCTGGGGGTCCGGCGCCCCGCCGCTCCGCCTGGGGGCCCGAGACCTGTTGCTCCGCCTGGGGGTCCGGCGCCCGCCGCTCCGCCTGGGGGCCCGAGACCTGTTGCTCCGCCTGGGGGTCCGGCGTCCGCCGCTCCGCCTGGGAGCCCGAGACCTGTCGCCCCGGCTGGGGGCCCGATGCCTGTCGCCCCACCTGGGGGTCCGGCGCCCGCCGCCCCGCCTGGGGGCCCGATGCCTGTCGCCCCGCCTGGGGGCCCGATGCCTGTCGCCCCGCCTGGGGGCCCGAGACCTGTCGCTCCGCCTGGGGGTCCGGCGCCCGCCGCTCCGCCTGGGGGCCCGAGACCTGTCGCTCCGCCTGGGGGTCCGGCGCCCGCCGATCCGCCTGGGGGCCCGAGACCTGTCGCTCCGCCTGGGGGTCCGGCGCCCGCCGCTCCGCCTGGGAGCCCGAGACCTGTCGCCCCGCCTGGGGGTCCGATGCCTGTCGCCCCGCCTGGGGGCCCGAGACCTGTCGCTCCGCCTGGGGGTCCGGCGCCCGCCGATCCGCCTGGGGGCCGAGACCTGTCGCTCCACCTGGGGGTCCGGCGCCCGCCGCTCCACCTGGGGGCCCGATGCCTGTCGCCCCGCCTGGGGGCCCGATGCCTGTCGCCCCGCCTGGGAGCCCGATGCCTGTCGCCCCGCCTGGGGGCCCGATGCCTGTCGCCCCTCCTGGGGGCCCGGCGCCCCCGCCTCTGCCCGGTGTGCCCCTGCCCGGTGTGCCCCTGCCCGGTGTGCCTCTGCCCGGAGTCCAGCCCGATGTGCCTCTGCCCGGAGTCCAGCCCGATGTGCCTCTGCCCGGAGTCCAGCCCGATGTGCCTCTGCCCGGAGTCCAGCCCGGTGTGCCCCTGCCCGATGTGCCCCTGCCCGGTGTGCCTCTGCCCGGAGTCCAGCCCGATGTGCCTCTGCCCGGAGTCCAGCCCGATGTGCCTCTGCCCGGTGTGCCCCTGCCCGGTGTGCCCCTGCCCGGTGTGCCCCTGCCCGGTGTGCCTCTGCCCGGAGTCCAGCCCGATGTGCCTCTGCCCGGAGTCCAGCCCGATGTGCCTCTGCCCGGAGTCCAGCCCGACGTGCCTCTGCCCGGAGTCCAGCCCGATGTGCCTCTGCCCGGTGTGCCCCTGCCCGGTGTGCCACTGCCCGGAGTCCTGCCCGGTGTGCCGCTTCCCGGAGTCCTGCCCGGTGTGCCAGTCTTTGATATCCCGCAAGTTACCAGACCCGGGCGGTGGAACATTTTGCCCAGCTAGGACTGTTTGGAGCGTCCTGAGGCCGCTCCTTGAGGGGGGGTACTGTCAGGAATGGACTGGCCAGCAATGGTGGGACTCACCTGCCTTATGAGCTGCAGTACCAGGGCTGGCCAGCGGGTGCTCCCAGCAATCAGAGACTCAACCTTGCAGCCAGTCAAACACCTGGAACTGATTATACTGGTGTATTTAAGGGATGGCCAGACCTACAGACTCTGCCTTGGTGTGTGTTTCTCCTGGGCCCTGTATGCTGTTCCTGCTCCCTGTTCCTGTTCCTGTTCCTGTCTGATTTGTTGCTGACCCTGCTCTGATCCCTGGCTTGTCTGACCATTCTCCTGCTCCTGATCCCTGGCTTGTCTGACCATTCTCCTCTGCCTGACCCTCTGTACCACGCTGCCCGCTACCTGCTGAACCTGGCTTGTGACCCCGACCATTCTCCGCTTGCTCCCCCTGTACCTACCTGCCCGATTGATATTTACCCGGCCTGCCTGACGACGCTTGCATTGTATGTACTGTTATCTGTGGGTGGTTTGGTTGTTTGCACTGTGTTATGTTTTAGTATTGCACTGCGTTTATGTTTGTATTGTTAGTGTTAATAAATTATATTGTTTATAATATATCTGAAGTCTGCGTTTCCCTGCGTCAGTCACACACCTCTGGTCATACCCGGGAGCCCTGACAGTATTTGCCCACTTCCTGATTTTTTTTTTTCCATATTTGTCACATTTAAATAATTCAGATCATCAAACCCGTTTTAATATTACACATAGATATCCCGAGTAAATACAAAATGCAGTTTTTAAATGGTACTTTCATTTATTAAAGGGAAAAAAAGCTCTCCAAACCTTTCTGGCCCTGTGTGAAGATGTAATTGTTCCCCCCTTGCTAAATGAATGAACTATGATGAACCACATGTTTTGGAAAGCTGAGTTAAATTTCACATGCCACACCCAGGCCTGATTACTGCCAGACCTGTTAAATCAAGAAATCACTTAAAACAGAAGCTGCCTGACAAAGTGAAGCACGCTAAAAGATCTCAATAAGCAACACATCATTCTGAGATCTAGAGAAATTCAAGAACAGATGAGACACAAAGTAATTGACATGTATCAGTCTGGAATGGTTTACAAAGCAATTTCTAAGGTTTTGGGGCTCCGGTGCATAATGGTGAGAGCCGTTATCCACAAATGGAAAAAACTTGGAACAGTTGTTAACCTTCCCAGGAGTGGCCGGCCTACCAAAATTACTCCAAGAACACAATGATGACTCATCCAGGAGGTCATAAAAGGCAAGGCTCATTTGCCTCAGGTAAGGTTGGTGTTCATGAATCAACAATAAGAAAGAGACCGGGCAAAAATAGCCTCCATGGGAGAGTTCCGAGGCCAAAGCCGCTGCTGGCCGAAAAGAACACAAAGGCTCACATTAGTCAAAAAAAAATCTTGATTACTCCCTAGACTTTTGAGCAAATGTTCTGTAGGCTGATTAGACAAAAGTTTAACTATTTGGAAGGTGTGCGTCCCATTACTTCTGGGGTAAAAGCGTTTCAGAAAAAGAACATCATACCAACAGTCACACATGATGGTGGTAGTGTGATCACAATTGATGGAACCATGAATTCGGCCATCAGTTTGTGACCTCAAGCACAAGCACATTTGGGTCATGCAGCAGGACAATGATCTAAAACACACCAGCAAGTCCACCTCTGAATGGCTCCAAAAAAATGAAATGAAAGTTTTGGAGTGGCCTAGTCAAAGTCCGGACAGAAATCCAATTGAGATGCTGTGGCGTGACCTTGAACAGACCGTTCATGCTGGAAAACCCTCCAATGTGGCTGAATTAAAACAATTCTGCACAACAAATTCCTCCACAGCGATGTGAAAGACTCATTGCCAGTTACTGCAAACGCTTGATGGCAGTTGTTGCCTCCAAGGGTGGCACAACCAGTTACTAAGTTCAGGGGGCAATTACTGTTTCACACAGGGCCAGGAAGGTTTGGGCAGCTTTTCTCTACTTAATTAATTAAATCATCAAGTGAATCATTTAACTGAGAAATATGCAAAAAAAACAGGAAGGGGGCAAATACTTTTTCACAGCACTAAAATTAGTAGAAGTACTTTCACTCTCCGCTACACTAAATGAGCCGTCAATCCTTACAATGCAGACACAACCGCACAGTGAGGGAGAATTTTCAGATTTTCTGGAGTCGGACACTGAAAATAATTGTTCCGCTCCCTGCTGAACTTCATACTGACGGCTGTCCGTATGGTAAAATGCGGCATTTTACTGGACAGGTTAGTGTGAAGCAGCCTAAAGGTTTTTTTTCGTAGAGGTAAGACATGACAATGACATAACAATGTGAAAAGCTTCAATCTCTACCAATTATCCTCTTAGCACACTGCATATCAATGTGTGATGGACATATGAAGCCCCCTTCCCTGGTGAGCCCAGGATAATTCCCTGCCGTTATCTACCATAATATTCCATCATCACCGATAAATATATATATCAGTCTGTGATAATATTAAAGGTTGTATCTTACCTTCTCCCTCCGGAGAGTTGCCATCAACTAGTATCAGTTGGTGGAGGAGACAGACGGTGATCAGTAGATAAGACCCCAGTGCAGACATGGCAGGCGGACCCCCAGCTACAGTCAGTGTGCGCAGTGCTCCGTCTTATCGCTGCCTGTTCTGTACATCACACTAGACAGAGGAAAGGGAACATCTACTCTAAGTTCTTCAGAAACTCATAAACTGGTAATAAACCTAATTAATAAATATCAGATATACTTGAAATGTTACACAATCTTCTTTTCTATCAAAACATTGGCCACCACTGTCCCTTGTCTTCATCGCTTCTACCATCCATATTTACATGAGAAAGTTATAAAAAGAACCCTGATCTCTCCTGTCTGTAAAAGTCCATGGAGGGGAGAACCTGTGTGTGAGTATACGATGGATGGCCACAGTTGTCAGGCTGAGTGTCTGATGTTCTCTCTCAGTGCCCAGCCAGCAACGTTCACCCCTGAGTGACTGGGTGGATAGGATGGGCAGAGGCTGGATTGGCTCCACCTCCTGACCTATCCCTACTGTTACCACCAATCCTCAAGCTCTACCACCACCTCCCACCCTATCCCTGCAGTTACTGCCAAGCCTCAAGCTCCACCCCCACCCTATCCCTGATGTTACCACCAAGCCTCAAGCTCCACCCCCACCCTTTCCCTGCTGTTACCACTAATCCTCAAGCTCCACCCCTACCCTATCCCTGCTGTTACCACCAAGCCTCAAGCTCCACCCCCACCTTATCCCTGATGTTACCGCCAAGTCTCAATCTCCACCCCCACCCTATCCCTGCTGTTACCACCTACACTCAAGTTCCACCCCCTTCTTATCCCTGATGTTACCACCAAGCTTCAAGTTCCACCCCACCCTATCCCTGCTGTTATGACCAATCCTCAAGCTCCACCCCACCCTATCCCTGAT